CAACTTTGGGTATAAAGGGCGTAAGCCATGTAATTAAAAAAAAAATAATAATCAGCAAGCCAACGAAATCTATTCTTAAAACAAAAGCATGAAGGAACACAGCAGTAGCTACGAACAATAGTAATTAAGGTTTCATGAATTTATTTACACTAAATGCACTTCAAACTTCTGTTTCTGACATTTTCTTTACTATGAATACAGATATAAACTTCACTTCCCATATGCAGGGAAGTTGGAAAAAAAAGTGAGGGGTTTGGGCAGCACTGCAGCTTTCAGCACACTGGCTCCCTTGTCCAGAGGGAAGGAAAGCCAGCAAGTAAATGGAAAGGCTCTGTTTGTTTTTATAACCACTCCCTAAGCTCTTGTTTGAGAGAAGGGGGGGAGTAGATATAAAATGAAGCATTTCCTCCATTTCTTAAGTAAAAACATTTAAGAATGGGAATTACAAAAAAAAAAAAAAGAGGGGCAAACTCACTGCAAAAATACCAACATTTAGTATGGAGGAACTCAAAGTGCGTGGCTAAAACACCATCAGGGTTGAGGGGTGGAAATGCAAAGGAAACAAGGGAAATTAAGTAATGCGCCACTTACAGTCCCTCCCCTTCCCCCCCAAAAAGACACAGTTAAACCCCACTAAGCAGGAAAACATGTACATGTTGTATTTTTAAAACCATCCTGCAGTGAAGTTATTGTTCTCAACAGCTACGAGAAATCTCTTTGTAAAAGCCAAGAGGAGATCTAATGGCAGAAAGCGTTCCAAAACAAAGTATCTTTAAGCTGCATTTAATTCAGCAACAAATGTAAACTTCCAGAAAAAGAAAAACTTGTATAGTTTGGCACCCTTCCAGGTCACTTAAAAATAGCCATTTCTAAAAAGGTGGAAATATAGTTTTATTCTTCCTTTCCCATGTTTTCCATGGCCCTCACTCCGTGCCCTACCCATGATTCCTGCGACCTTTGCAGCAAAAAAATAATTTACGTCCAGATGTGAAGGGAAAAAGTGACTAGTTTGATTGCCAAGACTTCCTGTGATTGATATAAATTTAATATCCGAGGACACTTTCAGACACCAGGGGGGGCTCTCTGATTAGTTTATCCTGGGCAGCTTCCAGGGAATCGTGCTGGATTTCATGGACTCGGTCGGCTTTGCAAACAAACGGCTCTACAATAGTTAAGACCGGTGGAAGGGATTCTAGAATCAGTCTTTAAAACAACTATTATCCATGAGACTAGATTTGGGTTTACCACAAGTTGTGAACTTCAAACCCACATAACTGGAATCTTTCAAAGATTTGCAGGAACTGATGACAAAAGTCAAAATACACTTCTTGTTTATTTGTGAAAGTTATGCCCCCCAAAAAAGGCAAGCCCAATAAATAAATCGGTTCATACTAACTTTAAGCTGTCACATTTCTTTGTTTGAGATGCATTTAACAGCCTATATAAAATCATGGATTATACGCTCACCACCACTTTGACTAACTTTCTTATTCCTGATTAATACTTTATAAAGTTATTTCTGTATTATTTCAGTTATTCTATATACATTTTAAGCATTTAATATATTACATAAATTATGAGATAAATATAACTACATTGCTTCAAGTAGCAGCTTCCAACTGGAAGCATTACAGCCAGTTTCTTACACAGTTGTGCCTGGACTTGTTATCCCACATCAGCCATTGCTTGTTCCACAATAGAAAAATTTGGATCTCTCAATATCTTATCCCTGGAAGCAGGAATACTTTGGAACACAAATGGGGAGACACAAGCCTCTGAACATAGCTAGTAATGTAAGTGGAAAAAGCCCCAGGAATGGGGACAAACCCAGGTCTCAAGTTACCATCAGAGAATCAAATCAATTTTTTCAGCTTGTCTCCGCTCTAAAGTTTTCCCCAAATCCACTGCCAAACTGACAACAAAGCTGTCTTATAACCATGATTTATATACAGTCTCAGCAAACCTGCTAAAATGGGCGCAGAACAATTTCTGTGTGTTTAACAACTCGATTCAGCGTTCTGGTTAGCAGCTCGCACGCAACACAGAGCACCGGCAGGAGCAAATACCTCCAAGCCCACGGTCCTCACAGAGCAACTGCACGCAGGCAGGTACCTCTGTCTCACCATCCCAGCATCTCTTACATTACGCAGCTTTTTCCAGGGTCACTGGCATATTACTCTTTCACTACCCTGTCAATGCACTCAATGTGCGAAATCACAACTTGGGGCTCACTGCTCGATTTTGGGCACAGTGTTGTTCTGAAGGTAGCATTGCTAGGATGAGCGCAGTCAGGGAGCCGATACCCACACCTCAGCCTTTCAGATTCCCGAACAAACTGAGCAACGAGCACGAAATGCTAAAAGAGTAACAGAATCTTAAACCTGCTGAAAAGCTTAAATAGCATTTGCATAAAAAACTGCACTGGAGAAAACAAGGGCTTTAGTTTTACTGTATATCTCAAACAGCATATATGTTACTTTACAGGCTCTGCTTCTACGTAAGCAAAGACAAATGCATCCATGCTAAGACTTGGTAAATTACTATTACTAATTGATTTCCACATAGGTAAGAAATCTCAAGGCTGTGAGAAAAAAGGTATTATATATTAAAAGTAATGAAAGCGTAATAAATAAATACATGCATTCACTCAGAATGTAGCTTGCTTTAATATTAAGGAATCAGAAAGCCTAACAGCTCTTAGCCAGTTTCTGCAGAAACTTAAAAGCCTTGAATATGCCCTGGGGCAAGAGTCAGACCACTCCATTAAAAGCACCATTAGGATTAGAGTTGCTATTGATGTGGGTGGTGTCACCGAGGACACAAGTAATATTCTGTACATTAGATCCACAGAAGATTTGTGAAATGCCACATCTAATCTTGTGAAAACCAAAATAAACAGAAGTCACAAAGAGGGTACATTACAGCAGTTTCTCTACAGTAATGATAAAGGTATTGGTTTGGACAGAGCAAGGCTAATTAGAAACACTTCTCAAACCTCTGGGAAGCCGCCCACTGTGCTGAGGGACTGAGCAGCAGGAACAAGGAACCCGGTTACACAGTTAAATTTTTCAATGTATATTTCAAACCAATTACGATATCATGTATACATGGGACTCCTACACGCATAATATTATGCCTCTAACTATTACTCCAAGGACATCACTGGATTATGCACCTTCTGTTTTCCTTTTTTAATTTTACAACTGGGACCACTAAAATACTAGAAGCCGAGTTGAGAAACTTTTCTACATTTTACCACTATTAACAGCTTGCAATGAGAGATCATTCTGCAAATACCTGTTTAAAGACTAAAAGCAGAAGAAAAAACACTCAAGTCTTACCCACATGCATGCCTTTTATACATATAGCTTGAATATTAATGTTATTCAAATAGAAACTCACACTAATAATTCTTTTCAAAACAAAAATCTTGTGATCTGTCTCTTGGAGAGGAAGCAGTTAAGATGAACACGAGACA